AAAAGTACCTGAAGAATCTAAAAAAAACAATATCAACTGATCTTGACCGCTCTCTATTTGGAGCATAACAGTGCATAATAATCAAAATTGATATTTTATAGAGTGAAGGCATTGAACCTGTGAAATAAAAGTTAATACTTTTGACACAAACGAAAACAATGGAATTATCGAGTAATAACATGTATTAGTCAAATATGTATTTCACGGGTTCGTTGACTTCACTCTCTAATATATGTGTGTATTATTTATACACTAAAACCAACCTGGTCTTTATACTCAAGCTTGTCCAGGAAGCCAGAGTTAATCGTCAATTCCTTGTCTGAAACACGTCCACCCCAACAATCGGATAAAAAGGAGATAGCACCAGATGGTGTTATTCCTATCAAAATCTTTATTGTGTTATGGTGTTTGTAGTTAGAATATGTTATGTTTCTGGCCAAAAGATTTGTTGGTCTCATAATAAATATTTCAGAGCAGTCAATAATGACTCGTGTATTTCTGTATTTGCCCTTGAATGCTTTGGGAAGGTTTCTTTTTGTGGCCATACTATGAGAAATCTCAATGCATCAGCCACTTTGGGCAAACCTCTTTTTAGAATCTTTCTTACTTGATCAGCATTCACTTTAAACCTTATAAGAAAAACCAAAAGGAATGACTTTTAGGATAAGGATAGATATGTGTTAGATTTATAATTAACATTCACATTTACCTATGGGCCAAGTCTTTATTTTGTAATCCAAGTCTTAATTTCATAAGGATAAGCAACAACTTATCAGCAATACTCATGGCTTTGGCCACCTTGGATAAATCATGTGTTCTTCTTGAAACAATATTAACAACCAAAGTAAAGATGGCAAAGCTTCTTAATCCTGGTGAAATGAGAAAAGCAATAAATATACTATTAAGTCATGCAATAGGTCACTCCAGCCACATCTCTGACACCTGCAGTATGCTTATAAATGATATATTCAATCAAGTTTGAAGCATATAATGAGTATTTGAGCACCTTGAATTTTCCTAAAGTAATTGTTTAAATGAGTGACCAAAATCAAGAATTTACCTGTAAAAAATTTGAGTTCTTTTTCATCCAAGTTCAAAGATGAAAACTGCGATTTTGCAATTTTKTCCTCAAGAACCTTTTTTTCCTCCATTAATGTGACACACCTCTGATTAAAGTGCATTAATGTGGCGCGTTCACTCTCGATCTTTTGATCGCCGACTTGATTGCAGCTATATTTTGGAAACAGTTCATCCCAGGCATTTAATTCTGATCCAGAAATAAACCCACAGAATAGTTCTCTAGGTGGTTCATCAATAGCTTCATTTTCGTCCGCTACAAAGCTTATCACACATTCGTCCATAGAAGTATCTAATGTAGTAGGCAAGACACGCAATCTTTGAGACTTTTCGCGTTTCAAAGTTCTTTCGTATCTTTTTAATTCTTTCAAAAGTTTTTCTTTGGTCTTTGAACGCGGATTCCCCATGTTGAAAGACGGGCAGTAATCAGGATGCCTGGGGTCATCGTGTGGAGAACCTATGTAATTTGATCGCGTCAATAGTCAAAAGATAAGCTCTTAATCATCACACTTAACACATGATTTTTACCTGTTAGAAAATGCTTTTTGCAAACTCGATCTTCCTTCTTTGGCTCCCAGCTTTTTTTGCGATTTGACAGATTGCCACGGTTAATATAATGAAGCCATTTTCTTCGTCTTTCACCGGATGATTTCGAAGGAATGCGAAAAAATCCTTGCTTTTTTTCACTGTATCGTTCAACACAACCAATTACACAGCAAGAATGAACCATCATACAGCACGAAAAATGCAGAAAAAGATCACTAAATAATACTTAGCTAAGAGTGAATTGTAGGGACGGAATACATAAAATTCGCCATCTTGCCACCCAATCYCGGCATTCAAAGCGTGCTTTTGTAAACAATGACGTCATCGAAGATCGGCCTATTTAGAATCACTACCTTGCTTTGCTTTACTACTAATAACTATTCTTTTTTTTGTTTTTGCTAAGCTCAAAATATTTCGCTTTCCTTTTTTTAAGACATTTGCCCCTATTTCARTAAAAACAATTTCATTCTTTGCGCGCGAATGCGCGCGCGCTGACGAGCTGATGTTAATACTGTTATATTTGGCGTTGTAAAATATATTTTTATCCACTTTTTTCTTTTTGAAGTTTTTGCATAAAACACATGGATTGAATCTATTGATTGAGCTGGAAGAATCTCTCTTTATTGTAATTCTCTTAGCATTGCTCTATTTTTTTGACTGAACTGTCGTGCCTTTACAGCTACTCTCTCGACCTACTTTAATCATGAACGTGAGGAAAGGGAGTAATCTTTGACCAGCACCAAAGTTAAACGGAAATTCTCGTTGAAAATTTGGAATGGGGTGCGTTCCAATAAGCGTCAAACCGGAATTCCCGATAATCTGTTATGCAAATAAATTGGAAAAGTGTGTTCCATTTACAATTGTGGTCTCTGAACCGAAAATTTCCGGAAAGTTTGCGTAAATGGTAAACATCCAAGATGTCCGTCTTTCGTCCACAATACAGTTGTCTATCTTACWGATGGAGCTCGCATTTTGAGATTGTTGGACATTTTGACACCATCCTGACATCAAAAAGTGAAAACTTCCGTCAACAATGGAGTTCTTTATCTGCAGAACGAGCTCTCATTTTGAGATTGTTGGACATTTTGACATCATGACATCACAAAGTGAAAAAATGTCCGTCTTTCGTCCACAATGCAGTTGTCTTTCTAACAGATGGAGCTCGCATTTTGAGATTGTTGGACATTTTGACAGCATCATGACATCACAAAGTGAAAAAATGTCCGTTTTTCGTCCACAATGCAGTTGTTTATCCAACAGAACGAGCTCTCATTTTGAGATTGTTGGACATTTTGACACCATCATGACATCAAAAAGTGAAAAAATGTCCGTCTTTGGTCCACAATGCAGTTGTCTATCTAACACATGGAGCTCGCATTTTGAGATTGTTGGACATTTTGACATCATGACATCAAAAAGTGAAAAAAATATCCGTTCTTCGTCCACAATGCAGTTGTTTATCCAATAGAACGAGCTCGCATTTTGAGATTGTTGGACATTTTGACATCATGACATCACAAAGTGAAAAAATGTCTGTCGTTTATTCCTGTTGGACATATATGCCCATCTGAAGTCAGTCACTTTTTACAGTGCCCAGGCCTGCGTCACAGTTATAAAATGCAGGGATTTTTTTTTATTTCTATTAATTTCTTTGGTCCACGTTGCAGTTTAGCATTCCRAAGGGACCTTAGGTTCCAAGGATCCAAGGTTCGATACTCTACTCGAACACGTCTGAAAAATTATTTTTATTTATTTATTGCTTTTTTTTATTGAAATACACTTATTGTAGTCATGTTTATTTTTTTTCCTGTAGAAATTTTTTCCCCTGGCGATCGTGGGCTCGATTCTCGACTCGAGCTTCCCAGAGGGGTGGAGGGGGAATCTTTTAGGGTTCTTTTTGAAGATTTCCGACTCATTTTCGCTGCAATGATAAAAATATTAAAAAGAAATGATGTGAAAAGATATACGTCGAATATATCAAATCAATCACGGTGCTGTAAAAATATATTTCACAGCAAATTCTATACACTTTACGTTATCTGGACATTCCACGAAGTGGATCTTGTTTTCTTATCATATATACGCAAAAAAAAGACGCGGACTTTAAAAACCTTAAGTGGGCTTCTTGTGTTTAGTTTACTGTAAAGGTTGAACTCGCTGTGCATGTGCAGTATTTGAAAGATGGAAGGATATTGATAAGGTGAAATCGTGTAGAAATTGTGGAAAGTGGTAAAGAATCTATCAAAACATATTCAAAGAGAACACAGGTTTAACATTGCACCAACACAGAAGGATTCCTCTAGTGAAATCAAAATCAGAGGCCACACCGATGAAATACCGCTATCGTGAAACTTGCAAGTTATGTGATAAATTTGTTCTCCTTCTTCCGCATATCAAAAGAATTCATAAGATATTTTCTAAAGTAGAATATGAAAGAGTGGTAAATGGGGGATTTTTTTTTTTACGGTACTCATTTTTATGTCACATAAATAAAACTGCAAAATTACATGAATTACAAATAATTCTGCTATTTACAATTAAGGAGAAACATACTAGAAGTATATTTCTCTAGACTTTTTACTAGATTCATTATAGTAATAAATAACAGAAACAAATAATAATACAAATACAAATGAGGAATATAATGAAATAATACCTACTATACAAATTAATTCTACTCTGTCTACATCGAAGGTCATTCATTAACAATTTTATATTACATTTCTTTATTGTGTTACTATAGCACACACACATACAAAAAAAAACACAATAGCTGCCGTGTCTTATCCTCAATAAAGTATTAGATATAAATTAAACCGAGGAAATCCTGTTTTTTAACGGGACCCATTTTTTGATATGGGCCTCATTTTTGTTTTTATTGAATGATACTATTTTCTCTAGTGCTTCATAGTTTRATARAAGATTTTGAACAWATGAAAGTGAAATCTTCCCTTTTTCTCTACATTTAAAAAGTACATATTTGTACTTAAGGATAATGAAATTTATTAGGCAATTATCAACCCCTAAAATAACATTGTAGATGTTTAATGTTGGCAATTCAATGTTGAGTTGATGTAACCAATCACGCAATTGAAAATAGAGATTGAAAACTCTACACTGAATGAATAAATGCTCCATTGTTTAAAGGTTTGAATGGCAAAACGAACAATGAGGATGATTTACCAACTTAAAACGATAAAGGTCCCGATTGAGGTATAATATATTGTTCAAAATCTTATACTGAAACATTCTCAGGTAATTGTCGATTCTCTTCTTGCGCTTGACCCATAATGCTTTGCGCCTTGGGGGGTAAGTTTGAATCAGTCGCCGCCATTTTGTTTTCGTGAATTGAATTCAGCTACTTAAACATGGGAAAAATGACTTTTTTTGTGCCCCCGGCTGCTCAAACAATCGTAAACGAAATCCTAAACTGCAGTTCTACAGAATTCCAAAAGATACAGCTCGTAAAAAGGTTTGGATTAAAAGAATTCGACGCGAAGACTGGCAACCTACAGACAACACTCGCTTGTGTTCAGCACACTTTGTTGGAGGAGTTAAATCGGAYGATTCACAAAGCAAATCATTCACTCCATCGATTTTCAGTTACAKCCATAATCTTTCTACACCTAGGAGAAGTAAAAACAGTCTGAAAACTAGCGATAACGATGAAAACATTCCACCACCTCAAAAGCCAAAGCGAAGGAGACTTGTTAAGGTAAGCTACAGGTAGCTAGCACAGTCTTTTCGTGTTTAATTTGGCATGGATTTTATWATTAGAGGTTGAAATTATTTTTACTGTAATTTCAGGAATCTAAAGAAGGAAAAGGAAGGCCGAAATTAGCAGAACCGTGTATAGACGACCATAATATTTGGGGAACCTGTTTAAGCCCAAACAACAGCCTTAAAGAACATGACTATTGTAGGACACAAMTCGACCCTGAGTCTYTGAAATYAGACCAGTCAGTTATAGAAGAACTGTCTAGGTTAYACCAAAGAGTCACTCGACTAGAAAAAGAAAATGACTTGCTTAAGACACGTTGTCTTAGCCTTGATGATTTAAAAGAGAATGACAAGAAGTTTCAGAGCTTTACTGGCTTCCCAAACTACAATACCTTCAAGGCTCTTTTTGACTATCTGGATCGTGTTGCTCTATATAAAAAGAAGAATTGGAGGGGATCCAGTATGCAGATTAAAGTTTCCACTGCACGACAAAGTCAAGCTAAACTGACCTTGGAAGAAGAGTTCTTTATGGTGTTAGTCCCCCCGCGAGTAGGCTTGACATTAACAGACTTATCCCTTAGACTTGGAGTAAGCGAATCAACAGTCAGTAGAATTTTTACAACATGGATAAACTTGCTATACTTTCATCTGAAAGAGCTGTGTTAAATGGCAGAGTATTGCGAAGAGCTAGGAAAGCCTGAGCAGTTTGCAGAATTCCCAGATTTGAAAGTCATTGTTGACTGCACTGAAATGTTCACACAGAAACCTTCCTCGTTGAAGGTAAACAAAGAAATCTACTCTAATTATAAGAGTCATGCAACATTTAAGTTTTTGGTAGCTATTAATGCATGTGCTGTAATTAGCGGGCTAGCTGTGCTAGCCAGCTATAGTTTTACCTTTCGCACTCTGTCGGGTCGAAGTTTCCAGTCTCTCTCGAACCACAGGAAGCCATATCTATTAGTTTGCAGTCTCTCTCGAACTGAAAATTTTCTCAAGAATCCAAAATGGCGGGTACTTCGCCGATAACAGAGAAAAAAGYACTCAAAAACTATCAACAAGAAATACCAAAAGCTTTCTCATTGAAGAATTGAACTAGGATTTTGCATTTGTGAAGTTTCAAGCTTGCTTGTTATCATTTTAAGACGATTTTGCATCGAAAATAGTCTCGCCTTCCTCACCAGTCCAGCTCGATGATTATTCAGTACAGCTTCAAAATGAAATCAGCTCAAATACTGGCTTTTTWACCACATTTATAGACAGCAAAAGGTATTCTTCTGTTTAATTGACAATGTTTTTATTGTTTAAATTCAAAGAAATTGCTTTAATATCATCGGGTTTTTTTATTAGTTAAAAATGACAAAGTACAAGTTTTGAAATTGAGCTTTGTTTTGCTTCAATTTTTAGATTTCWTTTGTACGAAAGAAAGGCTAATAAAAACAAAATTTAAAGAATGCACTCATGCCATCTAAAATGCATTGTTATGTAAATAATAATAGATGTGATATCGCTAACCAAGAAGTTAAGAGCTTCCATAAATATTTTTACAAAATACATTGCAAATGTAGGACAATCACTATAGCAAAAAGATTATGGTTGATAGTTGATATAGCTTATGATAAGATTATAGCAGACAGTGAAGGTTAACGATAAGAATTGAACTGCAAAGAAAACTAAGGTATTCATCGGCATATTTTACTTTCATATATAGTTACGTCATAGTCACAATTTTTATCTTGTATTGTGAATCTTTTGCTAAGCTAGCCCGCATCACGCTTTACAAGCGTCTAGTTGTTTATATTTCTCGTGGGTGGGGAGGCAGGGTTTCAGATAAGCATATAACAGCTAATAGTGTTGATTTTATTGCAACTTTACAACAAGGTGATCAGGGAATGGCTGATAGGGGGTTTGATATTGGGGATGTTTTAGGGGAGAGGGGGATGACAGTAACTATACCAGATTTCAAAGGACAAGGGAGATCACAGCTAAAGAAAACAGAAGGGAAAAGGTCAGAAAAAATAGCAGAGGCTAGAATCCATGTTGAACGAGCAATTCAGAGAATCAAGACATATCACATTCTTGACAGCGAGGTACGCTTGAACATGGGTCATCTTGCTGAGCAAATTTTTACTGTTTGTGGATATTTGGTTAATTTCCAGTCATCACAGGCTATACTGATCTGCAAGAGTGATTGCAAGCAAAACATTCAAGACAGATACTGTAGATATATACACCTATTTCAAAAAAAGGTTGTCGTCGCCAGGAATCAGTCCACAGTCTTGAGCCTGTAAAGAATCTCGGGATTGCCATATATTATGTGTTCAATTTCAGTTATTCGAAATACTCCGATTTAGAGTTCTGGTTTGCTCTGTGTTAGCTCCAAAACCAATCAACATATTCTTTTGTTTCATTGATAGCCCGAGAAAACGCATGGAATTTGAAAAGAGAGACAATAGAATTGATTTGAAATCTCACACTTTTATTCTCACAATTAGGAATATTTTGCGAACAAATTAGGAGACATTGAGCATTGATGAATACGAAACTGGATTATTCTCGGTCTCATAGCGAATATAGCTTTGAAACTCATTGACGTTTTAAAAACGTGGAATATTCATTTCAATGAGGAAAATGTCTATGGCGAGACTTGTTCGATGGGTCGCAATAGTATATTAGTAGTGTTTACCGCCATTGATTTCAAACCACAAAATATTTTGAATGTATTAATTACGCATGGAAACCCCGAGATTCTTTGCAGGCTCAAGACTGTGGACTGTGTCGTGGTGACGACAACGTTTTTTGAAATAGGTGTATACTATATGGTCAGAGGTCAGTAATCAAGAAATCCAAATTTGATCTGGTATCAGATCTGGACAACTTTTATTGTGTGGTTTTGCAATCACTCATGAGATTTTATAATGTAATAATAGTATAATACAMTGTATGAAACAAAAGTCAACAAAAGACACATGACATCATTTAATACTATTAATAAATGCTATAATTACAACAATGTTCTATTCTCTTTTGCCATTAAGTAAATATTATTCAAACTCTGGTCAAAAATATCAAATAAGAACTATTGAAAGCTATACAACAACTAGTATGCAATCTGTGAATTAACAGTTGATTAACATATTGTTGACATTGTCTAGTCACTGACTTTTCAGTTTTGCCTAAGGCTACATAACATTGAATAGTTTACACCTAATTTACCAATTCTGTCAATAGTCCTTAACTCTAGGGTATTCTAATTCTAATGAAAAGACATTGTAATAAAAGTGCTTTAGCTTTGGCAAAATTTGATTCATAAATTCCTTATTATAGGGGGTGTTTTTGATAATAATATTTTCACCATCAGAGGCTACAAAATGAGCCCATGTTCTTTCTGTGCAAAACGTCTGTAGTTGCACTTGATGGTAGTATGGATGATTAACATTACGTTTTGATGATGCATCAATTTCCTTGATAATGTGTTGTCTGCTGAGAGCTTCTTCTAATGTCTCGCCTTCATGAGGGTGTACTCTTTTCACTTCAATGACCCCCTTTCTTGCCTAAGAGTTCATCTGGAGATGCACTAAGGAATGGGTGTGACTTAGATACAAAAAGTCCACATTGTTCTACTTTGTTTCCTGTCAAGCTTGAATACTGGCTGATGGTTTTAGATTCAGAATTTATACCATCCCTCATGTATTGTGATTCATAGTGTTTGTTATAGCCAAGAATGTCTCTCATAGCCWTAGTGGGACTGGTTCTTTCTTTAACCAGAGCACGCTTGCATTGAGATGCTGTGATGCGGGGTAAGCGTTCTTTGAACCACACATTACTATTTGACTGATCTTGTGTTGACTGTTCTATTTGCTTTACCCTAGCATCATCAACAGCAATGTATTCTAGTATAGATTGTGTTCTCTGAAATATATCTTGTAAAGATGCTGGATGAACATCAACAGGGCTTAGGCCATCAACAGTGCTATCTGTTTCAGTGCAATCAGTTTCAATTTCAACTTCAGAACAATATAAAAGGTTAACATCATCTTGCTTGTAATCTATCTGGTAGATTATTGATAATCGGTACACTGATGTTTGGATCTCTTTTTGACCCAAGGATATSATAGATAGGTGGCAGTGGCTTTCCTTCATTTGCYARGAAAATGTTGTGTTTCAAGTCTATTTTGCACTCATCCATCAAATTCCTTTGCGTCTCGTCAATAGCATAGTATGCCTCTGTCACAGATGGAGATGGTTTCACTTTCTTTTGTGGTGGCTCTTTACCAAATTTAGCCTTGAAAAAATTGATGTCTTCAACAAGAATTTGTTCAGTCTTTGCTCCTACAAAAATTAACAAAATATGAGACATCTGTTTTTAAGAATAAAATGAATTATATACATAAAAATGTATCCTCAATATTAGTGTTCTTATAAATACATGTATATAATCACCTTTTGGGTTTCACCAAGAGCAAGGTAAATCAGTGCATGTTGGATCTGGAGGAAGATGCTGTTGACCTTCAGCTACAACATCACACAACATAAACATAAGAGCTCCAATATGGCTGCAGTCCCCTCTCAACCTAAGGAAATAATGTGTCTTACATTAGTTATGAATTGAATGCAGTGAAAATCAAAAAACAGTACAGTAACTTACCCAACAGTGCACGTGCAGTGAGAGAACACTGGCTCGCTAGTTGAGCTGTCAAGCACTAGGTACATCAATTTSCTTTCTTTGTTGTCTGTAGAAAACGATGGGTTGCAACTGGCCCTTAAAGCCCAAATATTTTCATAGTCGGCTAGTAAATTGATAGCCTGCGTTACATCCGGAATATTCTTCGATATATCCTGTCTGCGCATCAGAGCACAAAACCGTGTTCTGAGACCCCCTRCATTGATTTTCTGAGTTAATGCCGATTGGCTGTTACAACGGTCTTTTTGATTGGTCAATCACATGAGCATCACATTTCGTTCAAAATGGCGTCTGAAAGTGTGTGGGAAAGAGCGTTTTTAGCTGTCGAAAGCCAGTTTGAAGTTCCTAGCCTTTTACCTGAACAGAAACAAGCAATCCAAGGGTTCTTTGAAAGTCAAAATGTCTTCGTAAATTTACCAACAGGGTACGGGAAGTCACTGATCTTTCAGTGTCTACCCACTGTGTCCGATATTATCCATCAGAAAGAGAGAGGTTCAAGTATAATCGTTGTYCTCTCTCCGCTTATCTCTCTCATGAAAGACCATGTTAATTATCTGGGCAGAGTGGGTGTTCCAGCGATTTCCATTGGCGACGAGGAAGATCCTGATATTATTCAACAGGTCATGAATGACAACTATATTGTTGTGTTTGGCTCTCCCGAGTGTTTTCTGTCGACAACAACATGGCGAGGGTTATTTAGTACTCCAAGTTTCAGAGAGAAGTTGATTGGCGTGGTGGTAGATGAAGCTCACTGCATAGTTCAGTGGTAGGTAGTTTACTTTTTATTGTTTAGATTCTGTGACATGTTAGCACCGTATCAAACACCATATTAGTACACACACAAAAACRGAAAGACATCAAGGAGTGTAGACGTGTCTGTCAACGCTCCGCTCGAAGCTAATACTGTTATAATCGTTTAGTCATAATTTCTTCTATTCAAGTTTTTAAATCGACTTCTGGCGATATTAGAAGCTTATTTCACCCGCATTTAACAATTTGGGGAAAATTATCTAACAATTTGGCAAGAATTTACTCAAAAGTTCAATGGCTTCAAACACGAACCACACTGAGACTACGGAAAGACGCTTAGGACGCGAGAGCTCCCTACATGGAATCAAAAAACCAGACCTTCAGGATGAGCTGAGGAAAAGAAACCTTAGCGATGCTGGATCGAAGGCTGTTCTTGTTGAAAGACTAAAGATTGMGCTACAGGATCCCCCATCAGCTCGATCGAGCACTATTCATTGTGATGCAGATGCTGGTTCCTCTAGCCTTCCTTATGAGACACCAAATGGCCTCGATGATGCCTCTACATTGGAAGCCTCTCCTTCAAACTGTTCAGACTCATATAAACAAGAATTTGAAAGGATTCGACGAGAAATCAAAGAAATCAAAAATCTATTTACGAACTTTCCCACCAAATTAGAGTCAAATATGCAAATCGAAATCACTAAGCTACAACAAGAAAATGAAGCTCTTAAAACAACAATAACAGTGCTTAGTTCACAATTAGCATATCATTCAGGCTTGACAACTGACAACAATCGTCACGTAACCTACCAGAGTAATCAACCTATTGTTAACTCTGCCGCTTCGATAAGCCCGAATGAAACAAGTGAGGAAAGCGTCAGCCAGAAAAAGCCAGCAAAAACTAAAATGAAAGCGAAAAAACCCGATGGAAAACAGCCTTCTTACTCGGAAACTGATCAGCCTTCTTCTTCTGGAGCCACTGGTCCTCTCCCTCGCACAACCAACAACGCGAAACCGGTCACTGTAATATGCGGCGACTCAATTATAGGCAATGTAAATGGCTGGAATTTATCAAATCACCAAAATAAGGTAGTGGTAAAGCTCTTTCCGGGTGCCACAGTTGCTGATATGACTCACTATTTGGTTCCAACAATCGAAAAGAAGCCGCAAAATCTTGTTCTGCATGTTGGTACCAATGATTTACCCTCAACCGACCCAGAAGAGCTGACTGACAAAATCCAGCTGACGGTAAGACTAGTTTATCACTCTATGGTGGCCGTGGCCTAAATATAAAMGGCCTATTATGTCATATAAATAATMTTCGATTATTTTTAGAATCTTACAAAGAAATAGACATTCTGGCTATTAACGAAACCAAAATCGACCAATCTATTCATGATCGATAAATTTTCCTATCCGGCTATCAGGTAGTTAGAAAGGACAGGGCCAGGGGTGGAGGGGGAGTATGTATTTATGTACGCAATAATTTCAGCTTTTTCCTCCAACCAGATCTAAGTCCAGAGACCATCGAATGTCTTACTATAGAAATCTCTAAACCAAATTCTAAATCATTTCTCGTTAGTACTTGGTATAGACCCGAATCACCTGTCTCCGTATTTGACACCTTTGAAAATGTTATTGCCAAAGTAGATGCAGAGTACAAGGAGATATACCTTTTAGGTGATACAAATTGCARTTTCTTACCAGGTGCAAATGACCCAAATGCCAAGCATCTGAGGGATATACTAGAATTATATGGGTTAGCTCAGCTTATCACGAAACCAACCAGAATCACAGCTTCATCCAGGTCACTTATAGACCACTGCATAACAAACTGCGTAGACAAAATAAAGCATTCTGGTGTAATCCATCTAGGCATTAGCGACCATTCTCTTGTTTTCATGATTCGTAAATCCAATAGTTTTCGCAATGGCGGACACAAAACTATTAAAACCAGAGAATGGAAACTATTTAACGAAGCTAACTTTTTAGCAGATCTAGASAAAAAGAACTGGGTGTGTCATGGTGAGAACCCGAATGCGCAATGGGAAGACTGGAAGGCAAATCTCATGGACACCATTGACAAGCACGCACCAATTAGGAACAAACGAGTCAGAGCCAAGAAATCCCCTTGGATTGACTATGATCTTGTGCGCAAAATGCGAAAGCGAGACCTTCTAAAGCGCCAGCATGCCATGACAAATGACCCAGATCTTTGGCTCGAATACAAAAAATCTAGAAATGATGTAAACAATTGTATCAAGATTGCAAAACGCAAATACTATACAGAAAATCTTGAGGCAAACGTGCAAGATCAAAGGAAAACTTGGAAGTTACTAAACGAGCTACAGAATAGGCAGAGCGTTAAGGGTTCAATCTCTGAGCTTAAAATGGGTGATGCTACTCTAAAAGACCCCACAAGTATTGCCGAAGCTTTCAACTCTCACTTCACAAATGTGGGTCCAAATCTAGCTCAGTCAATCTCCCATACAGATATTGATCCTCTTTCGTACCTCAAACCTGTTAGTAGCTCTTTTAGCTTTCATGAAGTAACAAATAAGGATGTGCTTCTCCTTTTACAAAACCTTAATTCTAAAAAGGCGACTGGACCAGATAAAATCCCTGCAAAACTCTTAAAACTAGCAGNATTCTTTAATATAATTACAAATATGGGGGTTCCTTTGGTGAACACTCCCGGCGACCACTGGTACAAAGAATATATCTTTTAGGTTGACTGCCAACCACGGGGTACGGTACACGAGAAGTGGAATCGAGTGGACGGATATTCTAGAGTCTAGCCCGATTGAAAAGGATTGATTTGACATCAAATTACGATCACAGCAAGCACTCAGGACTGGATCCAGTCCAACGAATTGGACAGTAAAGTAGAACTAGAATACAGTGTTGCAATAATCAAACCTTGGGAATAATGAAATAAATATAAAGTATGGCTTACCTCTATTAAGTTCGTCAATTTCATCATTCTCGACTGCTACATCAAAATCACATAAATACATATGTTAATTGAGTATAAATGTGGCTTAAAAAATAAGGTCAAATCCAAATACTAGTTTCATTGACAAACATAATTATAATAATTGTATGCAGTGTTTAAAAAAATTCTTAATAACATATAATTTCACTTTCTATTAGTCAGACCAATTGGGGTATTTCAATTCAGTACATTCAAAACTTTTATTCTTGTGTGTAAAATGCAGATAATCTAATCCTTACAAAAAGGATTGTTGCAGATTGAGATCATAATATATTTTTAATTTATAAAAACAAGAGATTCATAAAATATCTAGAAAATAATGACATTAATTATAATGGTATGGATAAGACACCATATTCCTTCCATATTTCAATTATCAGCTTCATTAATATAGTTTATTAAAGGTCAGTACAATGAAAATCATTGTAAGCAAGAGATTTGTCCTTCCGTTCTCGGTCAATTTGGCGCTCAATTTCTTGTTCTTCCTCGGTCTGGTTTTGCCTTACAACTCTCCTCCGTTCTCGGTCAAATTGTCGTTCATTTTCTCTTTCTTCCTCGGTCCGGTTTTGTTGAGATATCCTCCACCTTGCACGTCTATTTGCACATTCATTTTCTTTCTCTTCTTCTGTTTGGCTTTCTTTTGCAAGTCGCTTCCTTTCACGCTCCGCAACTTTTTGCTCTTCTGTCAAGTTCCTTCGTCTTTCTCTTTCCCTGCTTCTTCTTCGCTCCTTCTCCTCCTCGGTCAAAACTCTAGTTCTTTTAACTTTCGTGTTCTCGTTAGACATGATTCGAAAAAAAGGTAAAAAGATAGATGATATAAAGCTTATGTTGTTGTTTTATGTATAAATATTTGAAATGTGATGACGACGTTATCGCCTTTATCGATCACGATCGGCGCGGCCGTGCTAAGTTTATTTTGGCGCCACTATTTTTGCGCGCTTTGTACCGGATTTCCTGTGGTGGTACACGGAATCCAGGACGGAAGGACGGACGGACGGAMGGAAACGTGCGTACGCGCGGGATCCCTGTGTCGGTCCATGAAAAATGGACTCGATAGTATACCATTTTTTCTTAGCTATGGTGCTCCGCTCGCGCGGGCCTTCGGCCCGCGCGGGAGCTCCGCTATAATTCGATTTTCTGGGTACCCAGAATCCCTTTCGGTCTTAGATGTGATGATATTATCTTTAATGACTTGGCAACGTTTTTGCAATTAGGTGCAATCAAGAACATTAACATACGTACTTTACATTTTTTTAAATTTTGACGGTCAAAAAAACATTTCTATACTGTTTTTTAACTGCAAATTTCATAATAGAGTTTATGCAGGACGTAACCCAAATAAATGAGCAAGCAATCAAGCATTTTTCAAACAGTTTTCTAATAGTAGTAGTTTTACGCTTTATAATAGCTGAATGGAGAAACCATTGTCAAACAAAAATTGATGGCTGACGGTGTTCCAAATGTCTTGGCTTGCAAACACAARTCCATTGAAGGTTGGATTCTTCTTCAGAATGTGATCTTTCTGGATATGATAGTACGTGTTCGTGAAGTCTCGGTTGTGATAAATGTGGCCGTTTGGATCAAACCCACGTATTCTACGGTCCATGTGCTTGACAACGATGTTGTTGGGYGGCCCTCTATATTTGTCAGCAAATGGATTGCCACATCCATAGCATTTTACGACATTTGTCGGCAGGAAGACCAACTCATATTTGGCTGGAGACATACCAGAATGCCAGGTGTTTGTCGCATGAGCATGAGCGGGTGGCATACTTTGGCTGGTCGGTAGGCTCATCATATTTCCATAAACCCCAGTTGGTGAGGACTGGCCTGGAACATTTGGCTCGTTGGTATTTGTCCAGTCATTGGCGGTAGTGTGTAGCTATAAGCCGGGTTTTGCTGTATAACTTGTGCCGGGGAAGGGTGTGGGTATTGGTTCGCTGAGCCAGGTGTGGTGTTGGGAAGGACAGGAACAGCAACATTTAAATGGGTTTGAGCTGGTGTTGGCGGTGCCGGTGGCGCAAGCTGTGAATTGTTCAGATTTACACAAACAGATTCTTGCCTGGTACTTTTGTTTTTTCGAGCCACTTTCTTTACTTCATTTGGTTTGTGGCCGCGCAGTCCAGCATTCCTACCGGCTTCTATAGCAGTTGTAACGTTAGGGGTACGNTGTCTGTTCTCTTAAGCTTAAATAAACACATTTATTTCCAAGTACCAAAAAAAAACTCAACGTTCATTTGATATATTTACGGAATATTGACATAAGAGTTTTGATATACTGGTTCTATCATGAATACTTTAGCCTGTGCTGGAAATTTCACAAAATACAAACACTGAAAATAAACTAAAATCCACCAAACAACATAGGTAAACTTACAATACCATGTTTTCAGTTTTCTGATATACTTTTTGTTTGTTCACAGGGGTTTGTCAGACACAAAAAAGGTGCCATTTCGAAAATGGTATGCGTGCTTAGGTGAATTAAACTCACTTATTCCAAAAGGCACCCAATTGATGGTCTTGACTGCAACTGCCACCCAGGAAACGAAAAAACAAATAATTGCAACTCTAAACTTGGCACCAACAAAATTTCTGATGATAGAGCAGTCACCAGAAAGACCGAACTTGTTTTACTGTTTGAAGTACATTGATAAAAATGAACAAATTGAAGTTGTATTTGGCAACTTAATTAAAGAAGCTGGAGATCTTAGTGCAGGTACCCCTAGAACACTTATATACTGTCAAACACGAAAACAGTGCTCTGTATTGTTTAGAGTGTTTGAAATATTTCTGGGAGATAAAATGTACAAAGATGGATGTACTCGTCCCCAAAACCGATTAGTAGAAATGTTCCATGCAGGAACACCTAAACAAGTTAAAGAGCATATTTGTGACAACATGACCAAGGAAGATGGACATTTACGAATTGTGATATGCACAGTAGCTTTTGGAATGGGGATAAACTGCAGTCAAGTGAGAAGAGTCATTCATTTTGGACCCTCCAAGACTGTTGAACAGTACATTCAGGAATGTGGTTGTGCAGGACGTGATGGTCTTCCAAGCTGCTGCATTTTACTCTTCAATGGATTACTGTCATCACTCAGTGATAAGGATATGAAAAACTATGTCCAGCATGAAGGATGTGCTCGTGTTTGGCTCATGTCCCACTTTGATAGTAAAGTGTCACGTTTACATTTGCTGCACAAATGTTGTGGATTCTGTGCTCAGAAATGTAGCTGTAAAGGTGATGATTGTGGGGATATTTGGAGTCCATCGACTGATAATAAGCTGGGTCCACAATTCAGCACATCACCTGACAACAAATTTTCAAGAGCTGTCACTCAGCATCAAAAGAAGGCATTGGCGAAGGAGCTGCATCAGTTTCGGAAAGAATTGCTGGAAAAGGCTGACATGGATAAGATGGTGACTTGCCCTAATTTACTGATGGAGTTTAACTCCTTTYACATCAATCAAGTACTTGAACACTGTGATGTTCTCTTCTCAATTTCAGACATTTTAAAGTCAGTTGAAATTTGGCGAATGCAGTATGCTAATGGCATTCTACAAGCTTTGAGTTCTGTTTGTAATGACATTYAACTGAATAGTCTAGAAGATGATGAAGGCCCAATTTCATTGGAGATGTCCAACTACTCAAAGTGGAGCCAGATCAGGGATGATTCAACTCTTGCTGAACTGTTTAACAGCCATGATTTGGAGGAACTTAGCTCATTTCATATCTGTATGGATACAATTGGCAGTAGTTTTGAAGAGTCATTTTAATTTGTTAAAAGGGATGTTATTTATTTCATGGTATGGTWCATGGTTTTTGBTCATSTCTTTGGAGCTGTTACATCATATTGCTCTGAGATTACTCTGTATTTACTTCAAGGTACACTAACATCAAAAAAGTAACAAAGTTGTTTTCATTTAACCATACAATGATCTAGCAAGTTCATTTAGTTTTTCTTGGCAAAGAAGATTCAAAGTATAATACCAACAATTAGTCTAACCATTCTTTCACAGTTAAATGAAAATAATTACGTCATTTTTATGTAAAAAATTGAATAAATTGAAGTTGGTTTTGTCCCATACTCTGACAAATTTTGCATTGTATTGCATTCTATTGTATTGTATCATTCTTAATGTATTGTATTGTTAATCTATTTTTGCAAACATATTATATAATACAATATTATGCATAAATTTCTCAGTATTGGACAACACACAGAATTTGGAGATGTTGGTGTAGGTATAGTGAWAACAGTGCTTTGTATTATTTAGAATGTTTCAGGTATCTTGGGCAGATAAAATGGAAAACCATATATTGTTAACACACCAATGTAATTTGAGGGTGCTTTCATTATATTTTAATCTTATTATAATGTTGAAAATTATAAGAAGTACAAGTAGTAGCCAAAACATTTCCTTGAACATAACAGTGTGTTTGCATCACATTGTTATTTGAGAGAGCTCTCACTGGTATTATGTAGTGATTTTCAAAACATTATTCCATGAAGTCATAAATTAGTGTAGTACATGTTGGGTCACCGTATGTATTAAAAGAAATTTCAAGTATTGTTCTTAATAATACTGTTTATCTTGCACTCCTGTTTAATATCATGTATTTCTTATGGTCATTTATCCAAGAGAACATCTTACTCATATCAAATCCAGACAGCAAAAATATTACTATCTTTTAGAATATACATTAAATTAACTAATATGCATATTAGAGTACAAACATTAAATGTGTGCAACACTTTCCAGTATTTGCTACAAAATAGTGTTAATTAAACAATAGAATTAGAATRATTTAGCCGTATTTTGTGGTATTTATGTTTCACAATTTTAGTGTTTATACTCTACATAGATTAAAGTAACTAATAGACCTATGTATGTTACATGCATTACGATGTCGCGCCTCATTTGTCTAAGCACTCACCAAGTTTCAACAGTGTGCGCTTCGTCGACCACTAGCACAGATACGTCTTTCAAACATCCACCCTTAATTTCCTTTTTCCATTCTTCAGCCACTGTTCAGCGCTTCCAAAAATGATTTCTGCATCAAACGCGTTTTGGCTAGAACATGACTCCAAAGTTGCAGCTTTAATTCCTATTTTTACAAGTTTCGGAAGAATTTGGTAAATTAAACTCTAACCTTAGCCAGTAGCCAGTAGGAAGAACACCCAGCACATCTTGACGAAAAAAAAAACAACCTTTTTATGCACTCAGCTTGTCCAGACTTAAGATCTATCCCTGGAAAATATTGGAGAGCATCTTCTAAACCTTTAGCAAACTGTTCTTCGCTTATTTCAAGAGTCATTCCAGAGTGTTTACGTTCATTTTCAAAATGGCGTCGTTCGGTAGATCCGTTCGGTAACATAATACTATATATTTTACTTCCGGTCATTTCCTTTGTCCTCTAGACCAATCAGCGTTTCGGCCATGAAACGGCAGCCGAACACGGTTCTCGATAGAAGATTGTGTCAGGCTCTCTCTCCTTTCTCGCTCCGCCCCAAACCCCTTCGAGAGAGCCTGATACTCAGGCTAAAAAATCTGTTACCTTTCCATTATTCACAATGCAACTTTTATTTTCCATAAGAAGAAGCCTGACCCAACGAATGAAGTTATTTCCAAAATTAAAGTGGTTCAGCATTGTGATGATAAGTTTATGTTCTATTGAGTCAAAAGCTTTAGCGAAATCAGCAGCAAATAGTAATAGTGGATTTCCATCCATTTTAACATATTCCATAATATCGTTTAGAGTTAGGATTACCTCATCAATTTTGCGACCWTTTACGAAGGCTGATTGATTTGGTGTTATAATATTTAATTATTTTGAATTCAGTCTTCCTTCCTTCCTAAGTAAGTAGCTTATCGTAAATTACTTAATGTTACTTATTGTTTGATGTAAAATGTTTTCTGTTGTGCAAATCATTTAATGTAAATTAGTTTCGTATTGAGCGAACGGGAGAGTGAACCGAAAACACTGATCGTCGCAGTGCTAGAAACTCATTTAAACCTATTTGTGGAACCCCTTCACAAAGTTGTATATTGCCAGAGGGCAAGGTGAATGAAAACGTGTATGTTTTACAAGAACCTAAAGATTAGAAAGATTTRGAGGTCAAAGAATCTAAACAACGTGTTCAAGCAGAGACTAACCGACAGAAAGACRACAAGTCAAAGTCAAAGAAGTCCAAGAACGYGTAACKTGAAGTGAAAGACGACAGAGTGACGATAAGAGCGTACAAAGGTACCAAGTATAGTGAATACAGGAGTCCGGCAAGTAAATCAAACACTGTTTAAAAGCCTTGGGATTGATGGAACTGTGCACTAAGGACTATAGAACAAACCAACAAAATTTGTAAGAAAAAAAAATCTTCTCATGTAAAAAAATATTCTATTTAGAATTAGTCGCTTGAGATATCTAGTTATTTTATCAGTATTTTAAAAAATTCATTAATAATTCATAACCATTCTGTCCAATCCGATGCTTCGCACTGGTCACGAGGAAAGCGCTTTATATCACATAAATTGCGTTTGAAACTTAAAGACCGTGGAGGGATTTGAATGCGGCCCAGGGGAATGCTGGGGTAGAATAGAAAAAACAAGAGAAGGAAAATGAACATGAAGCATTATATAATGATGACACATGTAGCATTATATATTAATATTAATATATAATGCCACAAGTGATGCTGTATAATGCTTCATAGAATGAAGAAGATAGATAGATAGAAGAAATAAAATACAACAGGCCATCAATTTTAATAATCAGACATTTATTATACTTGTGATTGCCTACTTATTGAAATGAAATGTGCAGTTATTGAATACAGATCCCGATTTAACGTTAGAAATTTCTGGCAACACGATGTTAGCTAACAACTCATCTTCGATTCCGAAATCAAACGGTTCTATACTCATTAAATCATTTGATTCGCTTTCGGCACTTGAATCTATCTCAGCGGGATTACCCTCCTTAGCCTTAGTGCTAGTTGTAGTTGTAACTGTAGCGCTTTCTTTGATATTTGCAACCGGTGGTCCAAGCAGTTTGCTGACAATCATTTGTTGCAGCAAACTAGATTTTTCATATTTGAGCAAAGCATTAGAATGATGGCCTGTCCTATCACGTATCAATTTCTCCTCTACCTGATTTTGAAACAAACGGGAAGCACAAGTTACTCGTTACTCGTAACGTTCCATACCAGCTTCATGACACAAATTAGACAAGATTTTGTTAAGCGTATTAATACCTAAAGCTGAACGGCAAAAAGTGAAAATCTGAGTATTTGGATTTGGATTTGGCTTGAAATAAAATGCATCTATATCCTTAACTAGATTTTTAACCTTCTCCATGTAAGTTGCGTAACAGTTAACTATACACGGCTGATGATTGACAGCTTTACTAGCGCAGAAAACGTGTTTAACTACTCTCGGCTTATACTTTAAATCTTTTAAACCACCGTGGTAGGTTTTTGACAAACTTTCATCGTACGTGACTGATTCAAAATCTATTCTAAAATTGTAGCAAAATTGTGAGCGCAACCCGAACAATTTACCGTTATAAAAGTAAATAGTTGTAAGCAAAGACCTAGCTGATTGGCAGCCCATGAGACCCAACTTCCAAAACGTAGCCTCATCTCCTTCTGTTATTTCCTTGCGTTCTTCCATTTTGGACTTCATACCAACCCCTTGTTGGGTAGCCTGGCGCATTTCGGTATCTAACGCACGTCTGAATATGTTTAACCTATAACGGAACAATTCAATTTTAATGCAATCTATTATTTAAAATGATTCTAAATTTGCAAAACTTCTATTCTTATTAAAGCCGAGATCTAAGCTATACTCGTAAGAAATAAAGTTATTGACATCTTACCTTCTATCGTTTTAACTTAACAGTGAAATGGCATTTCCACGTTCAGCAAGATATCGCTGAAGGCCCGCAACAATCATGTACAGACTTCTTCCTGGATACCTCTCGCCATTCAACTTCACCACTTCCTCTACAAACTTTGTCAGCCAAAAGTTCAGGGATTCCACATTATCATCATTATAGAAGGCCAAATAATAAACTGCCCTCATAAAAACACGCACCTAGCGKGCCGATAATGATTTTGGCGGGCTGCAAATCTTTTCGTATCAGCCCTGTCGCTGATTGGCCCAACGAGGGTCTTACGATCGTGCTCGACCAATCAGATTTCATTGTGATAACAATTTGAAAGCGCGCGAGTTGTTCTTCGCTGCGACTCAAGTTTGAGTTTTTGAAACGATTTATCACTMMAAAATATGGCAGAATATCCTAATTTCGACCTGGAAGTAGCGAATAATCAAGGTTCTGACTTAGGCCATAAGGACGTAATAGAAGCTCAAGCTCAAGCCAAAAACACAAAGAGAGCAACTGAATGGGGCTTGAAAAAGTTTTTCAAGTGGAGTGAAAAACGACAAATCAGTGTTGACTTGAAAACTATTGCTCCAAAAGAACTTAACGAAGTTCTAAGGAAATTTTACGCAGAGGTTAAAACAGAAAAAGGACAGCCCCTGACCCAAAGTGCATTGACAGGAATAAGAGCAGCCATACAGCGCCTTCATGTCTGCTAACAAAATGTTTGAAGCGAAAGCAAAGCTGTTCACGAAAGAAATGAATGTAAAACCAAATCATAAACAATCTATCGATTCTGGAGACATGGAATTTATTGAATAAAGTTGAGTGAAATTCATTTATTTATTGATGATAATGAGAATAACATGACTTTTGTCGGTCATATTGTTTATTTGCG